TAGACCTTGTTAGTTCTTGTTTTGTTTATTTTTCTTTTTTTGCATGACCACATTCGAGCCAAAAGGAGAACCCCGAGAAGAGCTAACCCAGTGAAAGAAGAAAGGATCCCAGAAAAGCCTCTCTCTGCAATTTCCCACCGACTCTGGCAGGCTTCCAAATTGTCTCCTGCCCAAGCTGCCCAGCAAGCAGGCACTAAAAGGTTTTGCAAATGCACAGTAGGAAGTTTTCCTTTTCAAAGCACCTCTGAGCTTCAATGAAATCTTGCTGGATGGACCATGGACCACATTTTCTGCAGGAGGTTTAGCCATGCTGCAAGGACATAGGTGATGGTTGTTTCATGCACTTCTGGGATATATGAGGAGCAGGGATAAATTGTGAAGTGAGTTTTGCATGTGTAGAAATAAATTCGAAGAGCAAGGGATAGTTTCTCCCTGAAAGTCAATAACAGCACCCCCATCTCAAGCGTGATCAGCTGGATTTTAATAGACCACTGGCTAAAGCTTGAAATTAATTTTGTCCTCTTCAATCCAGTCAGCTTTATATAACAGCACATGCAAATGCTGCTGACTTCAGGCAGGTGCAGAGACAGGCAGGCTGAAGCAGACAATTATCTCCAATCGAAAACACTGGAAAATATATATTTACATTTGAAATCAGTGTCTCACTTGCACTTTCCTCTGGCAATTATGTAGCATCAGCTCCTCTTCTGCATTTTGGGTTGGACATGCGTCGGATGAATAATGCCTTGTGTGGGTGGCAAAGCACAACAAGGGCATGGGCAGAGGGCTTGTAATTTCTGTACTTCCCTTGTTGACTTGGTCTTGTCTGAATCATTCGTATCTCCAAAAAAACTGCCTGCAGATGTGCACTGCTAACGTGCTCACACGCCAGCCCTCGGACACGGATGGAGGGATGAGTTAACACCAGCATTGTACCAATGATGATGCTTGTAGAACTAATAATCTTAGCCAAAAGGACAACTTTTTTCAACTGGTACGCAGAAAAAAAATGCAAAAGTATGTCATATTGGAGCTGCTGTATTCCACCACATCCTGAATTCTGGTCTGTGACAGAGCACTATGTCTTTATTAGCAAATTGGAGACTGCCAGGATCTGTTCTGGCCATGGAGGCAGCTGACAAGTGCTGGCCACATCCATACGATAAAACAGTGTCATTGCGGCACGTGTCTGCGGACAAGCTGGTGACTGGGGCCAGCGTTAATGCCTGTGCTTGCTGGGTCTGAGCCCAGTGCTCATCTGAGTGGGTCAAAACCATGTCAGGGTGTCTGGACAATCTACCAGAGTGGTTGGTGGAGCCCTAGCACAGTGGCGTTGCCTTGGCACGACTTTGTTGGTTAGTTTAGATGATTTCAGAGCATACCCAGCAGTATAAAGATGCCAAAGAAGGTGCCCGATGAGCTCGTGATGTGAATAAATACTGATTCAGTTCAAAAAAATTAAAAAAGCAAAAACAAAAGCCCTCAAAGAGTATCTTCAGGCAAGAAGGTGAGACATGTTGGGAAGTTAAGGAGATAAAAAACAAGCCATACCAATGCAACTCACCGGCCGTCCTTCTTGCACAAGTATGTATCAAAAAGCAAAGTGACTCTGGGCAAAAAGAAGGTGATGATCTGACTGTCAATGTTGGGATTAGTACAAACAAGAGTTCAGGGTAATTTCACTTCCTGTACTTTTGGCTTGGCAAAAGGCGCTGTTTGGCAAAAAAACTTCACAGATTCCTAGCAGAAGGGGTGGCCACACCAAGGTATGAACTCATTCGTCATGATTGTAGAGAAAATGCTTTATGTTAAGGCTGTAATGAAATCCTTCCAAATGAAAGAGTTCTCCAGGGTCAAGACAGGCTCCCACTGGAAATCCTTCCTAAATTAGAATGCGCACGGATGTGGTTCAAAGCAAGGACTAACGCCGGAGGCAGACACCTTGTGCGACTAAGTGTAATGCAACAGTCTTAATATGTCTGAAGAAGAGGTGCCTGCCGTTGTTCCTGTCTCTACTGGGAGCCTCGAGGATGGAGGTCTTCAGAGCAGGGATGTGTCAAGCCCTTTGTCAAGCTGGTTTGGCCGCAATAAATTAGCACTGTGTTGAAAGGTAAGGTCACTTCTAGAGTGTTTCTCCAGGACCTGGAGGCCAGCAGTCACAGGGGTCCCATTCCTGCAGGAAGGCAGAATGCCAAGGCTCAGGTGAGGGTTTGATGGGCTCCTCTACTTTTTCCCCATGGTCTTGCCTCTTCTTGTTGACCTACTTGGTCATCTTGATGCAAAGTGTTCAGTCTTTCAGTGGCATGAAGGGTGTCCCCAACCCTGTCTTTATGGTGTGTGGATTCAGTGAGGCCACCCTCTCCTTGTGCTTTTGGAAACCTGTGAGATATTTTGTGGAGGAACCGCTGCCAAGGGGCACTGTGGTTACTTGCTGTCCATCCTTTTCTCTTGCTTACGCCAACGAAAATGTGCACATATGGATGAAAGTTGCTTGTGGGAGGACTGAGAAGCTCCTTTCCAACAAGCAAAAGCTTCGGGGAAGCGAACCAGAGTAAATCTGTGCTAGTATTGAAGGTAAGTCCATTCATAAAAACAAAATATGTTGGAGTGAAGTTCTGGGAAGAGAAATGTGGGCATGATGGCACATGGGGCACCTTGGTCTTCTCATGGTCCTGGTGCAAAATTGTCCGCTACGTGGGACTGGCAAGTTCACTTCACAAATTATCTCATTTTTTTATGGAGATGGCACATGGATTAGGGGAGAAACAGTGGGAAACATTAGTAGAACACTTGAGAAGGGATGGGTATACAATTAGCAAAGAAGGGAAATAAAAGCTCTTCACAAATATATATGTGTGCACAATAAAGAATAAGGAAATTTAGGTAGGGTATTACAAGACAAAATCTCTCCCTTCTGCATGAAAATGTGACCGTCACATTTGTTGTAATCAGAGCCCAGAAACATTTGCCTGAAATGGGGTTTGACTGGGAATTACAGTACCAGTGACAATTTGGCTTTTTATAAACTTTGCCGTGTGTCTATAGTTTGGCGCAAATGAATCCTGCCCTCCTTAAAAGGGACAGATCCTAGTTAAAAGTTTCCACTATAAAACAAAACAAAATAACTTAAAAAATAAAACAAAATAACCCAAAACAACATTTTCTCAGAACACCGCAAAGGATCACTGACTGAAAAAAATGTTTCTCTTCAGGTATATTCAGGCGAAGAAAGCATTCAGCTTCTTTAAACTGTTATATAAAATTTGTACTAGTTACTTTAAATACTACCAGAATAATAATAATAAAAAAACACAACAATTGATTCCTCAAATTAAAAAAAAACAACAACAACAACACCTAATCATAATTAAAAAATATCTCCCCCATGTTGACCTTCTCTTCAGAACAGGTCAACATAGGAGTTTTGCACCCTAGACAGTTACAGTATTTCTGGAATAAAAAAATTGCAATTGCACACAGAAAATACTACAGTATTCACTTAAAAATAGCTTTTTTTGTTGTTGTTGTTATCCCCTCGGCCAGGTAGCGGGATGGAGGGATAGAAAAGACGCCCTGAAACGGGAACATTCCTTTAGAGGACCAAACCCTCTCGAAACGGGAAAATGCAACGAGGCAAACGTAACCCGCGACTGAGCTCGAAACAGCGATTTCAGCACAGAAACAAAATCGGAGCGATGCGAATGTTCATACACCGGGTTTTGTTTTGTTTTTCCCTTTTTTTTTTTTTTCTTTTGGAAACGTCAAGCCAACCACGCAACCCTTCGCAGGCAACCGTCTACGCTCTGCCCTCCGCGGCGGCGGCGGCGGCATCTCCGGGCGTCGAGAGCGCTACGCTAGACCTCGGTGCTCTCAACGCGCGCTCGGATTTCCTGGGCTGTTGTTCCTTGCCATGTACTTACAGCAGAGGGTGACACAGGACAGTTCTAGCGGCAGTTTCCCCCCGTGCACCGAGTTGAAGAGTTCTCAGCTAAACCACAACAACAACATCAACGAAAATACAAAGCACCAAATCATCTCTAGACGTGAGTCAGTTACAGGTTATTACCGTTTGAAGTTTTTTTTCCTTTTTTTGTGTTTTTTTTTTGTTTTTAACCCCAGTTTTTGTATTTCGTTTTCCTTAATAATAATAATAATAAAAAGAAAAAAAATCGAAAAACCCAAAACCCAAAAATGAAAAAAAAGGATGCTTTACAATCACTTTAAGGCTCGCACTGAATGAGACATGACAGGTCTTACACGAGATTACAAATAATACATGTATGCCTTTCACAGCCTTAAAATGATACAGTAGGTCAAATTATTTTGCCAGTCACTGATCAAGTATTGTGCCTTTGAATTGACTCGCTTTTTGCTACTATGCTGAGTTTTATTATTACTGAGATATTTATTAGCCATACGCAAATCGGATTTAGCATAATGATTTTTGGTATATCAGTTTAATGTATACAGATTTTGATTATTTTTTTTTCCAGAAATGTGGCCAGCCTTATTCTGCACCCGGACCGCTGGGATTTGCTCCGCTGAGGTCAATGGTGCAGGTGTCGGATCAAGATCAGATACCGCATCTGGGGCAAAGCCACCACAGCCCCTTTACACGTGAGAAGGGATCACTTTTATAACACCACTTGGCCAGGACGTGCAGCCTTGGCCAAATGGTGTTATAAACATATTGCCAAATTATTTTTACAGACCCGATTTTGTCTTGCAACTGCTTGGAAATCAGACTCCATGGGGGGTGTCTTGGCTTTGCTTTCTTTAGACATTTTTTTTTCCAGCTTAATCCAATAGGATGTTCAAGATATTTTTCAAACGTTTCTCTCTTTGTTGTTGTGGTTCTTTTTTTTTTTTTAATTTAAGTTTTATATTTTGATTGCTTTTTTTGATGTTTTTCCATTTTTTTTTCCTGGCATATAATCATTGAAGAGTTTTGCATGAGAAAGGTGACAGTACTTAATGAAACTCAGCACCTAAGGGCATAAGGCAGTTGTAGGTTTGTTTGTTTGTTTTTTTTTTATTTTTCAATCAGCACCAATCCCATAAATAATATTCTACACTTGGTGTACGGTATAAAACTGATGTGGAGATGCCTCCTTCTCCACCTGTGAATCCTAGGTGTGGAAGTTGAAATACTGTTTCTTGTGTGTAAAAAACAAAAGAAAAGTTTTTCTTTTTGTTTTTACTTACAAAACATAGAGAATATCTTTTTTTTATACATACAGCAACCAGAAAGAAAGCTTATCTGAAGGTTTGTGTTTGTTTCATGATCTGTGTTTACCGTAAACAAAAATAAGGTCCCCTCTTTTTTACTTTTGCTTTAAGGAGCTTAAAGTGAAGACTCGTATTGTAGCAACTCATATAAGAGAGGTCCATCTCTATACCTAATACCTACGGCTGTGGGGGTGACATACTGGAGGATGTTGATAGTTCTTCTTAGCCTCCTGTCTACAAAATGAGCATCCCAGGCTGGGTATCTTTTTCGTGGGATGTCAATCTTAATGAGAGGCCCCTCGGGGGGGTAGGGTCGCCCAGATGGAGTAGATGGTACCATTGCTCTCACCTGGAAAACGGGCAAGCAAGTGTCAGCTGTGAGTTCCTCCTGTTGCTCCGTCACCGCTCTGGTGGGCGTAGCCTGGGCCCCCCGGTACCCAGGGGTTTGGGGTGCCATGGGCTCAACATCGGGGGGCAAAGGAATGCCCCAGAGCAGCTCGGCGCAACAGGAGCTGACCAGGATCTTAGCTCTTGGCCCCATGGGATGCAGCACACCATAATATAACAGCATCAAAGCTATCCCAGCAGCAAAGCTAAGAAAGACACAACACAGTGCTGGCACGGCATATGAGTCAGTAGTGTCAGGATCTCTGTAAAAATACCAAAGGAGCGTCAAGGCAGCGTTCTCCGTCAGGACTATAGTGTAATATGCAAACATTCTGTATCGAGTCCGCCCTTCCTTGACATTAAACCAGCAGAAAATGTACACAATCCCTACCACCATGTTGAAGAGGATCTCCTCCCACTTAGACATGCAGAAATCTGTCCCACCATGGATGATCCAGAAAGCCATGGCACACCAGTGGACCACTACAAAGATCCCAAAGTAGAGCTGGAAGATGGAAGCAAAGAGAGCAAAAGAAATAACTCGGGATGAGATGGTGAAGAGGCGCCAGAAGAGATGGATGAGGGCCCCTCTGTAGCTCATACTCTTCTTGTCGTCCCTAGAGTCCCGAAGAAGCTTGTGATAGGAGGCTAGCACCCAAGCCAGGGACATCAGGGAGGCCACAGAGGACACACCTGCCGGAAGACACACAGATCCACTGAGTTAGACAGGAGGATTCGGTGAAAACATCATCTGCTCACTAAATTATTGCATCTGGGGCAGATCAGCAGCCAAAAGTTTCAGCTCACGTCAGGTTCTCTTTACTGTATAAAGGTGACAAATACAGAAATATCAGTGCAGGATCTCTAAAGGATTCTTCACTCAGGAGATGGCTGACAGTCTGCATTTGGTATATTATGTTCACAAGGAGCTGGCTCTACCACCCCTATCCAACCAACTCTTTGCTTCCTGCAAGCCAGAAGCAGCCTCTATCCTCATCCTGATTACACTCACATTGCAGAATTTGAAAACCAGATCCCACCTAAATGTTGCAGCCCAAGGATGAAGAGCACTGTCTGTAGAAAGGCTACATCCATCTCACAGTGCAACATTGCAAGGGAAGGACAACAAAACTCCTTGTAACTTCATGGTTTTTTATAATTTTAAAATGCATTCATACAAGCTACCATCACACTGACTTCAATCTACTGCTGCTTTGGTCAATGAACAGGATTCCCTGTTTGTATTCACCCTTGTGAAATACATGCAGCTGGTCAGTTGGACGAATTTATAAATGCAGGGAACAGCAAGACCCACTAGCATGCCCAAATTGTTCCAAAACACAGAACCTGATCCCTCCAGTGATGGTTCCTTCCCAAATCCTCAGGCCCAGTGTCCCTTCCCACTGCCATGGAAGCTCTCTGGCTCACTCCTCAAACACAGCAAATCCTGTCCTTGCAGACTCCTCTCGGTGCTGCCTACTAAGCTGTGATTGTGCTGCAGCTTGAAGGACTTGCTCGTGTTTGGTCACAGATAAGGCAAATGTTTCCTGCCTGCCAGCCTGGTCTCCTGGATAGACTTGGACCCCTCCCCAGCCCTGTCTCTTGGATGGACCTTGGACGCATGTTGTAGCCTTGTCTTCAGCCTCATCCTCTTCTGTTTGAGCCTGGACCTCCTGGAGGTCCCCATGATCTGGCTCATTCTCTTGTTCTGCCTGGGGCTGTTGATGGACCCTGTTACCAGCACCCCGTTTGCCCTGGGTGTTCAGACCCCACGGGACTGCTCCAGTTGGTGAGGGCACTGCCCACACTGGGGTCATCCTTGGTTCCCAGCTTGTCCTGCTCGTGGAACAGTCACCAGTCCTTACTGCACCCAGGCACGGGGAAGGCATCTCATGGTGCATCTAAGCGTTCGGATCTTATCGCACTGCTATGACCAACACTTACACTTTTTATTCCCTTTAATGGATAAAAGAGTGTGCTGTCAAAAGCTGGGAGTGTGATAACCTTTTACAAATTCTGAACTGAACAACCCAGTGCCCAAAGCAATACAATAAAATGCAGCTGACAGATCCTGTAAAAAAAAAAAAGGCCATTGGCATCTCATACCTCTGAAGCCACTGCTTTTTGGTGGGCTATTGCTTTGCAAGTGAGATAACAAGTGATGGTCAAAAACATATGTTTGGAAAGCTAACAAACTTGGTAGCAATAATTTGATAGGGGCAGGGAGCATCACCTATAAAAGCTAAAGAAAAAAAACTCTAGTGATTTCAAGCAAACAATAACAATATTTCCCATACCCTAATGTGCAGCATACTGGAAAACTGGGCTAGGTCTATTTTGTTTTTACTACTTAAAAACAAAACAAAACAAAAACAAGCAACAGTTTGCTGCAGCTGGTTAAGTTTAAAAGATCAATGTTTGGAAAGTTTGATTTCCCTCTTCTCCTTGGGATGGCAGAAGAAATGGTGTTTTGGCGGCAGCCTCTCTATTCACAGTATTTTCTTTCACTGGGATGAAGGTAATGGCTAGTGGTGACTTGACTTTAGGCCAAGGGAAAATATAGGGTGAACGTGGAAAGTGGGACAGGCTCTTCCTGCTCTTCCTTCAGATCTGTACACAGGATTTGAGGAACGCTGGAAACTTCTGAAAGGACAAAACATGACCTGAGAGATGTAGATTGGATTTGTTTTTAACCTACCTGATTTTTCACAAATGTGTTATATTTTTGGTAGCCATTATTAGAAGTTTTTTAAGATGGAGCAATAAGTGCTGCTATGTGTCTAAGTATTCTGCTTGCTACAACATCTTCTTGCTATACAGTTTTAAAACTTTCCATGCTTACGAGAAGAAAAAAATGTCATACATTGGCTTATTTTAGAGCTGTTATCCTAAAAATTTGTACGGCATTAGATGTACCTGTATCTACTGCAGCAACCCACAGGAGACAGATGTGTCACACTGGTTTAAAAATGTTTCTGTTGGGTTCATTTATTGCAGTACAGAAAGAGGAATAACATATACCAGATTCAAAAGCCCAGTGTACACATAAAGCCTTCTCCCACTTCCTACTTTTTCAATGAGGAAACCTACACTAATCACAACCTTGGAATAAGCTGGCTGACAGTTCATACTTTGAGTCACTCACATTGTATGCACCATGCCTGCTGCTAGTCATCTGAACATCTCCTGGAGCTGACAGAGAGCAGCAGACACCTCCAGAAAGTGATTCATCCTGTCCCAAGATCCGTGTGTGGGACAGGGCGGTGACTCATACTCTCGAAATGATGGTCTCTATCCTTTGACAGGGGAGCGAGGGGACTTGTCAACACCAGCAGTCAGGCGGGATGAGTCCTACCTTTCAAAACAGTTTCTTGCCTCCTCATTTGCTTTAAGATCTGATGGGGGAAATGAAATATTTCGAGACACTTTGACATATCCCTACCACTGTTTAACAACTCATGACCATGGGCCCAAAGTGACTCTTGGTGTGTCTGTGACAAGTAGGATCTGAACCTTGCTGTCAAGGGGGAAGCAACCAGTAGGTTCATATCAACAGCTACTGCGGAGAAATATGAAGAATTTCTGCAATAATATTTGCTGTTCTTCCACGGAAATGATTCCTTGGCTATTTTGTTTGTGCCTACATTACATACATACCTTGGTCTTTGTCACCATGACCATTAGTTTCTCCACTCCCATCTTGTCCTGTTACTTCAAGCCTATGTTCCTCATATAGTACATAGCTCACACAAACCATGTGATAAACTGTTCCCTTCTTTTCCAGTTCCTCACAAAACTTATTTCTAAACAGCTACAGAGTTTTGTCCTATTGTAACTAGAATAAAAAGTGCTGGTAAGTTAAATCATGTGGTAGGTATTTATTTTTATTTTTATTTTTGCACGTGGTGACTGATGCAGCTTCATCTAGCGTGAGCAGGTTTTAGCTCTCTTCCAATGTTTATTTTAGCAAATATGGGTTCAGGTTGTCTAAAAATGAAGTCATTTCAGAAAACCCACTCCCTTTCCTCCCTCTCCATGCTTAGTCTTGTGAGTAGAAAATACCTACCACGTGCTGCTGTGCCTATGCAGGCACTCTCAAGCTACCCAGGTCTCTGCTGTCATGATGCCCAGTCCTACAGGGGCATCTAACAGGTTGTAAATAGCACCACTGAGGAGTAAAGCCCATGGGTCTTGAGTTATTCTCCCAGCTCTCGTTAGGGAGACATCTCAGACACTCAGCTTGGTGAAGCACAGCTAGATATTACCCCCATTTGACAGACAAGGACGGATGACTAGAAGGACTTAGCTAAGGTCTTATATGACATTGATGATAAAGTCCTCCTTCACATCAGAGTGCTCCTAACGAGGAAATTTCAAGCAGGATTCAGTGCTAATGCAGACAGCCACCTTGACATTTCCAGAGGTGGGTGCCTATGGGTATCTTAGTGTTTATGGGTAAGGGTTGTTTCTTATCCTACTTAGTGGAGAATTAAGCCTTAAAACAACCACCACAGGCAGGAATCCATCTAAGCCCGAGACAAAAGTCAACCAATTTGTCTCCTTAGTCACTACAGCCACCAGAGTCAACACCGCATGCAGCGAGGTGTCTACTTCAGGGTCAACTGAGTCATTCTCTAGGCTTCCTTGGCTGTACCGCCTCTCCATCAACCTCAAGGACACCCACATCACATGGAGACAGCTCCATCGGAGACTTAGGTGTCTGAATCTCACCCATCATCTCGAATTGTCTCAGGACAGGCAATGCTGACCTCTTGGCTTAGTAATTCTACTTTTCTCAGGGGGATCTAACAAGCAGTCCACACTGGTAAACACAACTGGCATGGAGATTAAGGAGCAACAAACAATGAAGAGATACGAGAAGCCAGTAGGAAATAAAAAGCTAAATTTTCTCAGCAAAGGGTTGGACCAAGGAAGGGAAACAAGACCCATTGATTGGGTTTAGGAAAACATGGTTGAACCAGAGTACACATAATGTAGGTAGCAATCTGATTTCAGAGGAGGGGCCCATGGACCACTCTGAGTGCAAGGGAAAGAAAGTGTTGTGGTTTTCTCCTCCAGATCATACTGATGGCCTGGAAAAAAAAATATGGTTATCCCAGGAATGTAATGAAGCTCTCTGAAAAAATCCACAAGAAAGGCTAATGACTACCCTTAAATTGCTGATGTTGTTTTTAAAGCCCATAGATGTGCTGAAATAAAAACAGCACAAGGAAAGTTATTCTACTCTATCCAGCCTGCTCACACTGTGCAATTATGCAGGGCTTTGCAACTAGTCTAATAAAAGTTGCAGACAAATCACATACACACAAAAAACCCAACATTTAAATTGAACAGTATATCCACTTTGCGCTCAGTGCTGGTCTACCAAAGAGGTCTACCATTAGGACTCAGACCTGGACAAAGCTTTCCTAAGGAACCAAGCTGCTGGGTTATTTGAGGTAAATAATTTGAATGCGCTTACTATAACATATTCCCTAAACATTTACTGTATGCCTGCCTCTTTAAAGCTACAAACGGTGCCCTATTTCTTTATGGACTTTTAATTCTCCTGAAGACTACTCTGAAAAAAATTATGGGAAGATCCCAAGATTTCTCTTGGGTGAGCTGGACACCGCAGAGAATATTCAGTGCGATACGTACCCTTCCATCAACCACTCTGCGATGGAAGCACT